TTTAACAACGCGACGCGAGACTGACCGTTCTACGCGCGGGTCGCGGAACGACTGACTCCCCACTGAAAATGGCAGGGCGTTGGAGGCAGCGCTCGAGTGGGGGGTCCCCCGGCGATACTCCGCGCCTGCGCACAGAACACTTCCCATGCGCACAGAACACCCTGCATGCGCACAGAAGACCGCTCGCGTGGGGGGTCGCCAGGCGATACTCCGTGCATACGCACGCACACCGTCGATGCGTACAGAACACCGGGGGCAGTCTCAATTCGACGAGATACGATAATTGCGAAAATTCTTAACCTAATAAATAATTCTCTCTTAAAAAAAACAGTGCAATCACGTAAAATCCAATAGTCATTGTTTTTTTTTCAAAAGAACAATTTTCTGAAAAGTTTTCCAGAAATTTTTCGAAAATTTGAAAAAAATATTCTGATTACAATTTTTTTTTTACCCGGTAAGTAATATAGTAATGTCGAATGAATTTTCAAATTTTCGTGAATACCTGCTCGATTTTCTTGCTCCCCTGATACTTTCCCAAAAATTTCGAATTTTCAAATTTCAGTGAATACCTGCTCGATTTTCATGCTCCCCTGATACTTTTCCAAAAATTTCGAATTTTAAAATTTCCGTGAATATCTCCTCCATTTACATGCTCCCCTGATACTTTTTCAAAAATTTTTTAATTTTCAAATTTCCGTGAATACCTCCTCGATTTTCATGGCGATTTTCGTGGCGCCCTCCCTCTCCCGGGGTCACTACGATGCCGGTGGGGTCACTTGGTCGATGGATAAGGTATCGCGGGAGTCTTCACATCAAAGTGACGTGAAGTCTCTTCCTTCCCGCCGTTTTTCGAATGCTCATTCATTATTGATCCACTACGCAACAAATAAAATATTGCAGTGAATCGTAATTCCGTAATTATTCACTATTTTTTATTATATCAGACTGCAAATCATTGGGGGATAAGGTTTATGTTATTAATAAATGAAACATTTTGTTTTCGTATTGTTTTTTTTTTAAATTTTTTAATAAACACAAAAATCGTTTGCAAAAAAGGCTTTTTACACATTAAAATCCCTTCTACAATTTTCAATAAATTCTTCCCATCATCCCTACCCATAGTTCCTGTACCTGAAAAACCATAGATTCTTTTTTATTTCATTGGTTTAAATGGAAAATAATTGCATGTGTAATTATTCAACTTTCAGAGACGCTTCAGGTGACTGGAAGCTCCGCCAGATTGTCCTGACGACCATGACAGCACTGGAAAAAATTATTTATGATTAATTTTTCGGTGAAAGTGTTTGTAAAGTCTCGCTGATTACCTTATAACGCAAATCATACCCGCGGGCATGATTTTTCGGGTGTTATAGAAGCGATATCCCATCACTCCACCCAGGGCGGTGCTCGTTCCCAGAAGAACTGCACAATTTCGCGAGTCTTGGGATGTTTGATAGGCTCCATAGCCCAGGATTGAGCCGAATAGAAGCCCAGCACCCAACGAAGGTATTGATTCTTTGAAAAATTGAACGATTCCTCAATTTAATGAATCTTATTTATCATTGAAATCTTGGTCGATTTCAATATGGAGGAATTGATGAAAATACCTCTCTTCATATCCCCATAAATAAATATCGGAGAAAGAATTGAAAAGCAGAAAGTATTTCAATAAAATATTAAGGCGTGAGACCTCATCATCAAGATAATAAAAACACAAAAAAATGCAAGAGATGGTAAACAAATCATAGGTATGGATTTTATTTTACGACTTTCCCAGAAATCTCTGATAACATTTTTACGTCTTCCCAAACATTGGGCAATCGATTGAAAAGAGCACGTGTGTTCGTCATTATCATAAATGAAAAATTTCCATTCTAGAATAAAAAGTTAAAACTCGAAAAATCAGAACCCAATGTTATAATTGAAACTTTTGATTTCAAAGTCATAAAATACAAATAAAGACCGCAAAAATTTCCAAATACAAAAAAAATAGAATACCTCCAATAACTCAAGACCTCAACCATTTTCCCATTTTTATCTTCATCATTGCACTTGATTATTGATTATTATTTTTACTTGATGTTGAAAAAATAATTGAATCAAGTTATTCATTACTCAGATTGCTGAACGAACTCACTAGCTTTTACGTATCCTAGGATTCCTCCGCCAGCAACAGAAGCTGCATATGCAAAAGCTGCGAAGTCAATCGGCATTTTCCACTTGTTTATTTATTGAATCAATTTGAAAATCAATGCCCTCCGGTAAAGTCGAGGTTAAACAATGATAATCGCACTATTTCACTGATCTCACTCTATCCCACAATACCTGCGGGAAAATGAATCGAGTGAAGATTGCCACAAACTATCCCCTCCCTCAGATTTTCACAACACAGCAAAATTCAAATGCTTTCATCGCTGCCAATAAATTCAATTCAATTAATTCCCACTGTTATCAAAATCTTTCTGATCATTTTGCATCCTTCAAACCCCTCATAACCTCCCCTTTTTAATGACTCCAATAAAAAATTAAAAATCATAATTACATGAAACTCTCGTTAGTCCTAATTACATTCTCCTATTTTTTGCGACGATTCTAAACATTAATTCTGCTGATAAAATAATTATAACGATCGAAAGTTATGAAAACAGATATATAAACTCGTGGATGGTACGTAATCCCCTGAAGAATTATTTTTTTTTTGTGATAATTTAATTTATAGATCGGAAACTGTTTATATGAGCATGTGCGCAATTTATCAGACTTTTTTTATTGGAGGAAATAAAATGGAGCGGTTGTGCCTAATTCATGGCTTTTGATGATGACTTATGACAGTGAAGATATCATCGACAGAAATATTTTACAGTAGGTAATTGCAAGTCATCAAGTTCGAGGAAATGATTAAACGCGGTATATATTGACACCCCACTCTCATAGAGCTCCAGTTGTCGTGTGACCGATGCACGAGTCGGTGAAATAATTCCTCAAGAATTTATGTGTATAACAATGGAGACTCAAAGTGTACTGATCAATACTGGAAACATACTGTCTTCGAATGAATTGAAATTGAAAGTGGGACAGAACACAAACGAGGAGGTAGTTAATCAATTTCTTCAAGATATCAGTGATTGTTGCCTCTCATGGAGGACGATTACGCGTTATTGATAATCCGTTGTCTCTGAAAAATCATAAAGTTGATAAGAGGATTGTTGGTATTGAGGTTATGTCAAATGTTACATTCTCGAGTGGTTTATTTGCTATTCCAATCAACCTTGAGTTCGATCCTGAGTTTAATTTCTCCCCCATTTTAGTACAAATTTAATTTATCATTTTTTTTTGTTTTTCAGCTCGTGGAAGCGTTGAAAATTACTTTGAAAGACTCTCAGGGTAAGAATGAAGCCTTAAACATTGTAAGTATAATATTTTGAGAATTTTTTAATTAACGACAGGTGATGTAAGAGGTGAAATGGAAAATTTGGGAATATTTTGATAGCGGAGATTTTTAGAAATCTTCTTTGACATTTCTGGTGAAATTTGGATGTGTGTGGAAACGCCTGTGTGACCGAGTGATACGATTTTTATTCGATATTTTTTTTCTCACAATTGATAATAAACTGAATATTTTTTTTCTTCCGGGTGGCTTTCTATTCTAATTTTTTCCGCGAGTCGTAATTTTGGATATTCGAATTTTAAGATCAATGGAGCCGATCCTGGAAGTTTGGAAGATCGAAAGGAACTGAAAATCACTGTAAAAATATTCATGCCCTCGGCCGATCCAGAGTTATTGGGCACTGCCATAGATCAAAGTATGACTTCCCATAATTTTTTGCGCTGTGCACCATTTTTAATCCTTGATTATTAAATTCATGGTTTTTTCAAGGTTTCAAGGTGTTCGATACGGATCGTATCGAAACCCTGATTCTTGCGTACGGAGAGGCCAGGAACACTGAGAATGAACTGGAACAACTCCAGAAACTTTGGCCTGTTGTTGAAAAATACGTGAACGCTGGAAAAATCTGTCATGTTGGTTTCAGTAACGTTGATGCTGATGTTTTCATTAAATTGTACGAGTGGGCCACGGTGAGTTCAAGCTAGGATAGTCTACTTCAGAGAAAAAATAAATGGGGCAGAACAATTTTTTTTCAAATTAAATTATTTATCAGATTACACGAAACAGAATATTTTCTCTCACATTTCATAATAATATTTGATAATGATAATGATATAAAAATATTGATGTGCTTCAGGTCCGACCAAGTATTGTCCAAATAAATCTCGCCACTTGTTGCGTGGTTCCACCGGCCCTTCAAGCATTCACCAAGGAGCACGACGTCCAGCTCTTAACACACAACGATCCGTACCGTAAGAACTGAATCCATACTTGTGTCTTTTTCTCATTTATTCTGTAATAGATTTTTTGGGGAGAGAAATGAATTTTCAAAGAATGGTGATTTGGGAAACAATTCGTCTTCACCAGTCCAGAAACATATCGCTTGTAATAATTTATGAACCTTCGATTTTTTATTTCAGAACTTTTGGGGAAAGACTCACTGGCTGATGTCTTCGGACCCTCTGTCAAACTTCAATGGGTCGTTAAATATCAAGTACATGTCAAATGTCGAGGGGTTTTAACTGTAAAAGGGTATTTAGTTCAATGTGAGAAATGATAGATACAAGGGTGCTCCTATTATTTTGAATTTTTACACCATAGATTGAATTTATTTTTTGAAACTTTGTGCTGTTTTTATTCCTTTTAACTTTTACTTCAGTTAACGAATTTTCAATATTGTAGTAAATTTTATACAAAATTCGATTGCTTCGATTTTTATTCGTAGTGAATAACAATTTAACGATGGATCCCAGAAAGTATTGTACCTTAATTATGTAATTTAGTGAAATAATTATTACTCTGATAAAATAATGAATAAAATCATGACAATTAATGCATCGTTAGCACTGTCTCACTATTTTTTATTAGAATTCAGTGATTATTTAATTAAATTTCAATATCGATTACTGATTAATTTTTTTAATGACTTTTTCCTGCATTTTCTTCAACTTTAATTACCATGGCTAGCCATGAGAATGTACAAAAGAATTCCCAAAAATAAATTCCTGAGAAAACTGTAATAAATCCATCACTTTATGCAAATGAAACCGCATAGATTCGAACTAATTTAAAATTCAGTGGACAAGAATAATGGCCCCCGATCGCTTATCCAGAAAGATCACATTTTTCTAGTCTATTTTCTTTGTACCATTCATCCGATTGGTTTACGAAAATCCAGAGGGAAGGGAATGTCCGTTGTAAACACTTGACGAATTCAGTTGACGAATCCAAAAATCTTGCCAAATAAATGGGTGTAAATAAGATGAAAATGGGTGTAAATAAGATGAAAATGGGTGTAAATAAGATGAAAGTGGGAGGTAATAATCCGAAAATTTAGCAGCAGCAGTAGCCAATCAGAAGTCGTTACAACGTTTGCTCGAGGATCAAAATAAACAACAAAAGTATAATCCCCCAGAGTTTAATGTGCGTCCTGTCTCCTCGATATATGCTCTTGAAATTTTTTCTTTGTTTTGCCCTTTAGCTTCTCATGGGTATGCCTCTGGATATCTCTGGCAGTGGTTTCCCTCCCTAACTCTCTTTTCCATCCTTCTCTCCCTGGGCTGCATCCTTTTGCGTTTAAAGCCGCAACCATAGAGGTACACAAACCATTGAAAAGAGTAAAGGGAAAGAATTGAGGAGAGAATAAGACAGAAGAAAATGTCGGATTGGAAAGAGTCTCCTCGGCATTTACCTCTTTGTCTTACGTGGCGTTGCGCGTGGTTGTCCTCATCCTCTTCTTTTGGGACTCCCCTCGGCCGCTTTACTCACGGCTTCCTGAGGGTATGCGAGAACGATACTATGTTATGCCTTGGGACCCAAACGTCTCTGACATACTTTGTATGTTAATGCCACATAATGTCGGTTTTGTTCCTGTTTTTCCAGCATTTATTTGTTCGGCATCGCTTTTGCGTACGCACCCAATACCAAACTCTCTTACCTTCTTTCAAGGTACTTTCAAAATCTATGGCTACTATTATTTTTCATGGTTATCTGTACACCCAAGATCTTCATTCATTCTAATTTTATTTCATGTCCGCGCAAGGAGAAATTCTTTTGGCTCGGCAAAAATCGGTTCAGCCCAGTTGATAGGCCTCGTATTTATAAAATATGTCATTAATAGTATTAATAATTTATCTGATTATTTTTCTTCTCACTATAATCCATTCTTGGAGTGAGGTGATAATGAAGCACCTCAAGACGGGGAGAATAGAGAAATTTTGAAATTACTTTACCCAAAAAAAAAAATTCTTACATCAGCAACTCTTATTGGGAGGAGGATCGCCTTTTTTTCTCAATTGCACATGATTTTTCTCGAAGAAGATGAAGCATGTGTGCAAGTCTCGGTGACATTATTTATTTCTGGGATTTTCCGAAGACGAATGGCTCCACTATGAAGTCAGTGATACCGATCTCCACCAAACTTAGCTGATCCTCTGATTGTCTGGAGGGAGTGTGACAAAAAAATGAAGGAATCAGGTGGGGAAGGGAAAGGGATGCCCATCGGGTGAATTGAATCCAAAGTGAGTCCACCGGTGCTTGTAAGGTGTCATCGCGCGTTACCCTAATGCGAGGGACCACAAGACCGGTAGCTGTTTCTTCTTTTCACGCTCACCCTGCACACTAATAAATCATCGGGGTTTGTTGACCCACAGCATCGTTGCAAAAATAAATATTTCAGTAATAAAGCGTGAGGAATTTCAGTTTATCCAGAATCAGAATCAAAATTTTTAATTAAAAAAAAAAAACAGTAATAATATCGAAAAAAACACATACTTTTAAATAAATTAATCCTTACCAATAATAATGTCTTCTTTCAGTGAAAAATAAAATTAAAAACGGATACGTTTTTCCAATCATCTCAATATTATTCAAAAAAACGAAAAAAAATCTGAAAAATGATGAAATACCAAGAATACCTGGTGAAACCCCATAAACTGATGCCGTCACATGAGTTGAGTAAGTAAACCCGGCGCGTGGCAGACATTCGCATGCGTCCCATTGATGGACATTCGTCTCTCCTCATACAATACCCCATTCCCAGCAATCTCCGCCAATAGGTATTCAACTTGTCGTACACCGTACCTCCCCAATTGACGAATAGAAACAAAATAACCGGTAAAAACCATCGCACAAAGAAAGAAGAAAGAAAAAAATAAGATGAATCTTTTCAATCCTTGGAAAAGCTCCATCCACCAATCCCGACGACTCCCTGAAAGTGAGTATGCGATATAGACCTGTTGAATGCCATCCATCTGCACCAGTGACAGGTGATACAGTAACGGAATTGTCCCTTTATTTATCTTACTCCACCCATCCACCCCATTTATTTTATTTATCCTACATCCCCTCCCTGCATAATCCCAATATGCATGAGAAGAAAACAACAGGGAAAGATAATAATAAAAAAAAAAATCCTCGAGGAAAAAGAGAAAAGACCAAACGCAAAACGCTAAAGTCGAGCTCTCGCTTCTGTGCGATGCAAAGGCGGGTATAAATAAAGCGGCTGTCGTTTGCGGAAGCATAAAACGGCCAAAAGGACACAATAAAAATAAAGGAGGAGGCAAGAGGTACGATGAGGTGGAGAAGAAGATGAGGGTGGAGTGGGGGATGATACAAGGGCGGCGGCGAAACTCCTATGGCCATGGTGAATCCCATAGCCACAGTATGCAACGCAGAGAGGAATAAATAAGTCGGGTGAAAAGGGGGGGAGTAGGGGGTAGAAGGGGTGGTTGGTGAAGGGGGGGAAACAACGCGGCAGTACCACCCCGTTGTTCCAGAAGGGACTCGGAGGCTTGCCGGCAAACTTAGAAGAGTCCTCATCCTCCTCGTCGGCAATACCCATAAGAACGAGGAGGGAAGATGTATCCGCAGATCTGCCGGAACGTTCCCTTTCATGAATTTCCATCGCATTACGACAGGTGTATTCACGTGAAACACTGGGATATATGACTTCGGTGTCTTCTGGCGAAAATGGAAACTCTTTTGCCTTTTTTTCTTTTTTTCTCCTCGTTTTCTTTACGTTTGGAGGGATTGGATTGGATGGTAAATAGAATTTTTTTTTCCGGTAGCGTGATGGTTTTGATGATTGTTTGTGATGGGGTCGTCGATTTTGCTGGGATATTGATTGGTTGTTGGGGATAATGGGGATTGTCTTTGCACCTTGAAGTTGTTGGTATGGGACGTGTGGTTGGTGGTGGATGAATCGATGGTTGATGGTTTTCTGGGGGATGGAGGGAAGGGTTGGGTTGTTTGTGAGATTGTTTGTTTGTGATCGGTGGTTTGAGTAATGGGACGGAGATTGTACTTTGTTCTGATGAAATTTTTTTAATTTAAATTAATCATTACTCGATTTTTATCTGATCTTCTTGCAAATATTGACAGGAAAATCGGGTTGAGCTGAACATGTGTTGTGTTGTAAAACCAGTGACATGGGGATGCCTCAATATTTTTTTCATTCGACAGCTGCCACGACAATAAATAATAAGGTTCCACAAAAATGACCAAGCATTTGAAGTTTCCAGCAGTAAGTTATCTTACATTCTCCATCAGTAACTCTCGCCAGCACTTGAGCCATCAAGACGACGGCCCGCACCAACAGCGAACATCGCAAAAGGTTCCATATAAATGCCTCCTCAAGTCGATTCAGATTGATTTCCACGAGAGTAAAACTGAATTTTCCAATTTTCAAAAACGAAAAACGGGATATTGTCAGAAATTTCTTTGAGTACATCCCCTAAACCGCATACTCCCCACAATAAAAAACCTCCCCTCCGGAGTTTCAGTCTTTCCTCCCCAAAAAGAGTAGACACCGAAAGCCACAAGTCCCGACAACCAAATAAATCCAAATAAAAAAAAAAAAAGAAAAAATAATGTCCCTCCGGTGAGTGGCATAAATCGGGTGTTATCACATTGATGAAAAAGGGAAAAGCCATATTTACCGGTGGGTGTGCAGATAGGTAATTCTTTATGTCCTTTATATATAACGAATGAAGCAAAATAGAAAATGGGAAGTTAAACACAGGACACAGGAGCGAAACAGGCCAGCACAGGCGCATGAAAGGAAAGAAAAAGAGAGGGTTGAAGATAAAGAGAGAGAATCGTGCAGCAGCCCTTGACTCCGGTGCACAGCATGTTTATTGGCGCATCCACGAGTCTTAAATCTTTATGTTGTCGTCCGTTGCGGCGGTTTCTGTCCTCCCCATCCTCCCCATCCTCCCCATCCTCCCTCTTGTGGGTACCCATTGCCGGTTTCAGTATATTCAGTATATATGTACAAAAGGGGGGATACCCAAGGTGGAGCTCCACCACGTATACATAACCGTGTGCGTTTTCAGTGAGGAATAAAGAGGAAGGATGGATGTTAAATTTTCAAACTCCGGGTGAGAAAGAGGGAGCGACGATGCGGGTGAGATATATCTTTTGGCTTCTGCCTCCTTCTGCGGTCTTCTCGCTAAAATCGAGTCACTGTGAAAAGAGAAGTCGAACAACCGGTGTTGGAGTCTACTCACTCACCTCCCGCTCTTATTTTTTCCTCGGGTTCCTCCCTCCCCCCTCTTTTTTTTTTATATCTTGCCCTGCGCTTACGCATCCGAAAAAACAGCTTGACGATTGTATTTTTTTTTTAGGGGGCAGGGGGGCTCTACGATT